CACTGCTTATTTCTCACTTCCGTGACTTTGGGAGTGGTCATCGGCGCCTGTGTCACATCGCGAATGGGACAACTGTGCACTCTGTGCATTTGTAAGACCTTATAATGGTTTTATCGTTATACTAAAATTGTATCAAAAGTTTACTAGCTTCAGTCGGCCGTCAAAGCTCTTAGGCCAAGTTTAACGCACATGGTAATGAGAAAAATCTGTTTTTCTCAGCGTTCATTTGCAATAGATCAGGAAAATGTGAAGTTCGACGTTTGAAACGCAAGTATTGGTATTGCAAGGGGTGATGAATGGTCTATTAAAATTTTTAACTGCTCGCAAAATTTTACCTTTGCCCGATTTGCTCGCAAAATTCAAAGGAGTACTCCCAAAATTTTTGCAGTTGCTCGCATGCTCGCCTTCTTGTCAATATTGCTCGAAATGTTGTAAATCCTTCTTTGGGTTAAAGTAAATGTAATTCTGTATGGTGCTTAATTCCTATAAATATATGGCTATCAAGTTCAGTGGAAAGGCACGCGATAAATGACAACGATAAATAATAAATTAGCTAATCTAGCTATGTATGATTAAAAAGAGAAGATATTGTTATCTTGAGTTCTTCTGAGTTTCTATACCGCTCCACTCACTGGGCTTTAACTGGACCGTGTTTTCAATAAAATCGGTTTGGAAACTTTACGATTCTTCCAGAAGAGGTTGTTCTGACACGAGGATCTTGTTCGTCTTCAGATTCTTCTTCATCCACATCAGTCATGTTCCGTTTTAAACCATTTCCTGTTTTATTTTAAAGAAAAGGATTTCCATATGGATTGCTGCAAGCGGAAAATATAAGAAGTGCTCGCTGCTCGCGAGTCAGTACTCTCTAAACTGCACGCTGCTCGCAAAGCAATTTTTTTTAACTCTGCTCGTGCTCGCATGCTCCCGAATGCTCGCAAAGACCATTCGTCACCCCTATTACACAAGCAAGAGTATTTTGATCTATTTTTAACGTCCTCGTTGTTTACCTTCAAGGCTGACTCGGGTCTGAAAAGCGTTGAACGAAAACCGATTTAAAAGTTTGTTAACTTATAAGTTGCACGTTACTATGTGCCGCCCTAGCGCAAGACTTGTTGTGATTTTACATCGTCAGTTAATTTTATAAGAAATGTTGGCCACTTAATAAGTCAGTATATTAATAATCGCCGTGTTAATTGGATACCCTGCGTAGCAGGTGTGGAAAGGTCGAAGGGATTGGGTGGAAGGGAAAAAGGGAGAGGCATTGGGGAGACCTTTCCTTATCCCTTTCTCCCTCTTCCCTTTTTGCGCCTGCCTTGCAGGGACTATATTTGAAGGCTATATTTGTGTACGGAATTTCTTTTTTCTAATTTTAATTCTCAAGCTAAGTTAACTCTGCCTGTCTTCTAAACGGACTTTGTCGGCGAGACCATCGTCCTTTAATTTGTTCAGGTCTGTTGAGGCCTGAAAGAGGCCCTTTGAAGCAAGAAAACAATAATTTCTGATTTTGATTCCTCTATGACTATGTTCACCTGTTCACCCTTACTTATGAAAGAGATGTGTCGTGGGCTTGAACTACTGTGCTGAAGTAATGACAACGTCGGACTTCACATGTACCTAATTTATAGAGTCATTTCATCCCTGGCTGCCAATCTGACATAATGACAGTCTTATCAGGGTCCTGATCAGGGTCTGGTAATCCAGGTCTCGCGTTCATTGCTGGTCATGAGTATAATGGGCCGCCGTAAGATTTACAATTATTAACAAATAAGCTTAAACTGCCATTGTACTCAGTTTTCGAGAATCCAACATAGCAATCTGGGCCAATTATGGGTGCCCAATTAGTCTCAGGGAAAGGCTTAATTAGTGAGAATAACAATGTTACAAAAAAGCTCCCATTTTCAGTATGCTCTACTTATGAATTATTCTCTATTTATTATATCTGTCTGGATTTGTTAAAACGAGGCTAAAGAAATTTCTAGTGCATTTTAACTATTTGACATCTAACTGGAATGGGAAGCAGTTAAAAGTCACTAGCTGAAGCTAAACAATGACAGCATCATTGCTGGCAATAGACGGTAATGTTCTCTCGTAGAAGTAATTGTAATTTTTTAGTCAGTCAAACCGTGAGGCCCACAGCTCAGTGTCGGCCGAAAACAGATTAAAAATCCACAATCTTTGAGCACATTTCTAAGAGAAAATCACCTAAACTAAACACTCAAGAAGCGTTTTTATGCTTGGCACAAAGTATTTTGGTAACACGACCTCAACCGCACACATCTGAGATTTGTCTGTCGACACTTGCGGTAAATCACACAATAAATGACTTTCGCGGCAATCACAACACTTCCGAAAACCACTCATAATACTTCCACACTTAACACGGGCGAAACATCGTCAAATTACTCCATAAAACTCTCGCTTTCTCTACATAAATCGTCACATGGTACTTTTCTCCACTCACTGGCAGTCGATTTACTCAAGATCCCGGATGTAAACCAGCGGTTGAAAAAGAGACTTACAGCCCCCGCCTTCCACACAATTTTTTACTAAGTCTTTGGCCTGGTCAGAAATCAGTATGAATTTCCATCTTGTCGAATAGATTTCAACCCTAGAACCTACTTTGTGAGGCCAAAGACTTGTTACTACCAACAACAAAGCTCGCAATATCCAATCTTTCTGTCCCAAGCCCGGGATCAGTCTTTCACCCGTGTAGCCCTAAATGAGAGGAAATACCAGATGATATTGGACGCCTCAGACTTTGCCAGACGTGAGAATTGTTCCTTCATAAGGCTTAAAGATGCCTTCCGGAAAACGTTGCTTTATGCAGCCAAAAAACTCTAAGACAACCCACTATAAGAGCCGAGTTCAGTCTAATACGCGTTTTGGGGGAGGCGGGGGGGGGGGTAATAAGTTAATAGCAAGGGAGAAACTCATCAAAGTCTGTCTTCTTTGGATTATCTGGTACCGATTAAATAACTAAAAAGTGACTATGAAAAAAATTAAAAACATGGTCCAATACAAAACTCAGTCAAAGGCAATATAAGAAAGATTTCCGTGGCCATTTTTTTGGGGATCCCACCGAGTATACATACTAAGAAATTTATGCAGCCAAAAAACTCTAAGACAACCCACTATAAGAGCCGAGTTCAGTCTAATACGCGTTTTGGGGGAGGCGGGGGGGGGGTAATAAGTTAATAGCAAGTGAGAAACTCATCAAAGTCTGTCTTCTGTGGATTATCTGGTACCGATTAAATAACTAAAAAGTGACTATGAAAAAAATTAAAAACATGGTCCACTACAAGACTCAGTCAGAGGCTATATAAGAGAGATTTCCGTGGCCATTTTTTTGCGAATCCAGACAGATATACATACTGAGAAATACGCACCAAAAAGCTATGTCGTAAATTTTCATACGCAAATGGGTTCCAGCCAATCAGATGAGCGAAAGATGTTTTTTCACACGTGAAAAAAAAGTTATGTCCAATCAGAATCGCGCACGGTGTTTTTTCATGTGTGAGAATACCGATACGTCCAATCAGAAGCCACAGAGGTGTGCGAGTTTCGCGCCAAAATTCCAGCCTTTTATAGGCGCTGGCAGCTTGCACCGCCCTCGCTTAACGAGCTGCTTCACAGACATTCAACGAGAGAAGTTTTTCTCGTAAAAAAGTGAAAAACATCTCGGAAATTGGAGTGGGAATACAAAGTTCGTGTGTGTGTCTGCCGATGAAGGACAGCGGAAGAGGAAAAACAGAACGAGACGTCATCTTAAGTAGTGCTTTTTATCGGAGCTACTTTGTCTTCTATTTAGTCTAAGGTTATATTCAAACCAGCCATTTTCAATTGTGCATTCAGAACAAAACTTTAACATTACAGTACTTGTAATTCTTAGATTACCCATTTACCTCATATCCTTACCCTCATTAAATTTTTAACGAACGTTTTTCCTACAGTAGTAAGCTTATACTTCGTTTTCTTTGTCATTTCACGGTGTGTAGCGGCAAATTTTAGCATTTTGGAAGATTTGAAATAAAAAGGCTGCTAAAATGATGAATGTCTCACTATGTATATAAGAAACATAGTACCACATGGAAAGTGCTTTGTACGGTATTTACGCACTCGCGGCTTTTGAATCAGAAATCGAAAGAGTGAGATTTCTAATACGTCAACAACTCGTGAGTAAATACCGCACGCCCACACTTCCATGAAGTATTCTATAATAAGAACTTTCTTAGTGGTTCTAAGTAACCCGTGAAACTCAAATGAAGGCTTGTCAGAAATAACAAAGACAAAATTTAGCCTATGGGGCCTTCACTTTGTTTCTCTTAAATGTTAACAAGGGGTGCGCGTAGGAAATGTCTTCCTCCTCGCCGAGGTGCCGTCCCAGTCTCCCCCGACCGATCCATGACTACCTACATGTGAAAAGAGACGACTGGGGACTAGCTTGCGTGTTAGGCGCAAAAAGGGGAGAGGGAGGGGTAAAGGGAGAAAAACCCGAAAGGGGAAAGTGAAGGGAGTCCCCCACCCTCTCTCCCCAATCCTCCTCCCTTTTTCCTTCCTCTCAATCCCCTACCCTTTCAACGCCTGCTACGCGGGCAAACTGGGAACGAATCAGCTAAGGCAGTGTATGTCATGATGTAGGGCATGCAAAAACACGAGTGACTTCTCGTAGCCTAAGCCCCAAAAAACGTGTTTTTTCCTACCAAAGAAACGAAACTTCCAATATGTGCTCGGAAAGTTTGTCGAGTTTTTTTTTTATCAAGACCCACTTCTTGCTGCATGCAAACATGTATTTCTTGCGGTGAGAAGAGCTATGCGGGGAACGATCGACGGGACCCGGAGTGCAATAAGGATTTTAAAAAACGTAGAGTGCAGTTCCCCGTAAAACAGCAACGCATATATCCCGATTTCGTCTCTGTGTACTAAGCCAGAGGATAACATGCAGTCCTCCTTCGTCCATCGCCATAAAAGCGTAAAATATATTTCAACAAACTTAGCGGTTTGCCACTAGACCGAATGTTTAAACTGAAACAACGAAACATATGTTAATAAGCATAGAAGGTGACAAAAGGGAGTGGGACGCAGCATTTGTAACCTGCGTGGCAACCGAAATAAATGACAGCGTCGAATAGGAAAAATCGCGTTCGTGACACGAAAGGCACGCGCGAGTTTGCCCTTTCGATCATTTGCCGCGCAAGATACACCCGGTTTGATGGCATAAAATCTGCCAAATTACCCCTGTATACGTGTTGTTTCAGTATAGCTTGACACCTGAACCGTGACACGATTCCGTCACTTTGTGCAATAGGCGCTGGTTTGAGCTGAGGATAGTCAAGGTTTTTATGAGGTCCGTAAAGGCATTTATTCCCAGGAAACGTGGGAATGGCCGCGAGTCGCAAATCAACTTGGTATCCAGTGAATTATTATCACCATCGTTCAGCGGAAGTGTATTTTTTTTGAAGCTGATTTGGAATCCTGTGTCTCCTTTACAAGGCTAAGAAATGTACTGTCTTTAGAGTCCTAGGCTTTTGAGTTTCTTTTTTCCCTAGCATTAATACAAGTGTTGTTGGGAGTTAAAGTTGTACTTGTTTGAAACTAAACCTTCAAAGTTGAGGTCAGTTATAATTTCCTGGTAATTTAAAATTTTAACTTATTTTCGCCTTTACGGAGCATGAGGCCGAAAAAAATTTTGATGACATCCGGTGTGTCCATCGTAGGCAGGTTCACTACAAAAAGGGGACAGGCAGTCCGTGTTTCAAAACGAACAGCACTTTATCGTGCTCTTATTTTTGTCTTTTTTCTGCTCTTATGCAAAGGCCTGCAGGGTGTCCACCATATGGCACCGGCCCCTTCTTCTAGTTCTTCTTCCTTCTCTTCTGTTTCTTCTTTCTCTCCTTCTTCTTGCTCTCTATCCGTGTCACTGTTCTCCATGTCAACACATTGTCTACATCCTGTACGTACCTCAGTAACAACATTTCCATTGCGCATAAGCGACCTAGTGACATAAACTTCAAGGTGTTCACATAATTTCCATGCTCCTATATTAAAGCCTGGAAAGTTCTCAAATGCTTTGGGTTCCTCGAAGGTTGGAGGTTGGAGGCCCACTTCTTTTCTCACCGATACTACTATTCTTTCAAGCCAGTCAACCTGCAGTGCGTCGTCATTCCCCTGAATAAACAAATCGAACTTTTCCTGAGCCAGTTTCAGACGCGACACTGCAATGTCGGAGAAAGACTTTTTGGAACTGATGGCTTCACTTTGAGCCTCCAAGATAGATGCATAAAGAAAGAACTTTCTCGCGTGCTGATACACTGTGTTTAAAATACTTAAGTCTAACTGGGGTTTCTGGAGGTACGCTGTCATCTTTTCCAAGAAATCTCTCATCACCAGCTGATCTTTTGAACTTGCTTGATGATTTTTCACGTTTCTCAAACAGGATTGCGCTTTTTTAACTTCGTCCGTAACAAGAAGGTGATTTCTAAGTGTGAAGATTAAAGGGACTTTTCTTGGCTGCTCCATCATCTGAAGTTTTTGCCGAAATTTTTTCAGACTGTCTTTGTTACCTTTACAAAATTCGGAAGCTTCTTGTGATAGTTTATAAATTTGAGATTTTCCATTGTCCACGTTTTTCAGTGTCTCTTTGATTTGATTTCCGTAACGATAACTGAATGTAATGGCGACAGAGCACGTGGGACAGTGAATTAGTCGAACGTCACTTCCCAGGTCACGTAGCATCCAACGGTCCATCACGTCAACCTCCACAATGTGACCACAATCAAAAAGTTGCAGGTACCTAATGTTTTCTGTTGTTTTAGGAGCTTTTGGACGAAGCTTTTTGGCATGACAAATGGCGCACACAGTGGGACAGTTTTCCCCACACAAACCAATACACGGGTGGCGACAAGGAAGCCTCTTAGGGCATGGAGCATTACATCGCGGGCGATCACATTCCTCTCCACAAAGATTGTTGCATGTGTAATGAGGACAACTCCATTTGCAGGGTTTTTTGCAAGGTGTACACGACTGCGAACAAGATCGGGTACATTTTGTATGAGGGCAACGTCGACCGCATTTTTTGTTACAGGGCGGGCAAGGCTCGCTGCATTTCGCTTGACAGCGATGGCAGCAAATGAGAAGTCGGCCACAAGGATGTTCGCATATTTCATGTGAACCTCTTTGGTTGCATTCGTCACATGTACCAGAACAATAGTGACCACATGGTAGCTTTTGCCCACAGTCACTAGAGCATCGTACGTCATCAACAGATGCGCTACAACGGATTGTTATTTTGTGCCCGCACTTGAGGGTCTTGCGCACTTCTACTTGACATGGGTATTTTTCGCAGGGTTGCCCACAGACACCCTTACACTGATGTTTACAATTCTCGCGACGGGGACAAGGTGCAGTACAGGTAGCAGTCTTTAGTTGAAAACACTGAAGTTGCTCCTTGTGACCACAATCAAATGTTTTCTCTACTCGACGCTTGCACCTGAAACGTTCACATGGCTGACTGCAATCACCCGGGCACGGGTGACCGCAGGCTAGTAACTGTGTACACTCCTTTTGGCATGCTACATTCTTGGGGTCGTCTTTGCAGTACATCTTACGAGAGTGATTTCCTGCACAATTGAGTTTCTTCACCACCATCTTTTGACACTGGTACTGACTACATTCTTCGAAGCATTTTCCTGGACATGGGTGACCGCATTTCAAATTTCGTTTGCATGGATTTGAACAAATAAGCTGAGAGACATCTTTAGAGCAAAAACAAAACATCCCGTGGTACCCACAAGTCAAGTCTTTTTCAACTTGAACAAGGCAGTTAAAGCTATCGCACTGTTCTCCACATTTATGAGAGCATGGATGACCACATGAAAGAAAGCGTTCACAAGGGGCATCACAAAATACCTCATCTATCTTGCTTGAACATTTCGTGAGCTTTTCATGGCCACAGGGTAATCTTTTCCACACATTGGTGGTACACATTTGATTTTGCATCTCACCCTGGACGTTACAGCAAATAATACGTTTGTGGTGTCCACAATCAAGTAATATTTCGATGTCTTCTTGACAGCTGTACTCCAGTGGGTTTATATGGCACGGAAGGGTTGATTCGTGTCCACATGCTAATGCTCTTGAAACTTTAACTGTGCAAACGTCATTTGGTAAGCCTCCGGATATAGTGGAGCATCGAGCAGGCTTCGTATGTCCACATGGTAGTTCCAGTTCGACTTTCCTTCTGCAAATGCAATCCTTAGGCGTTTTGAAGCACGGAAGAATGATCGTATGGCCACAGCCCAACCTCTTCTCCATTCTTTCTTTACACAAGACATGCTCTAATCCAGCCTGTTTGACATGACACTCCGCGAATGTTTTATGTCCACATGCAAGATGCACCTCCACTTTTTCCTTGCAAACAAACTTTTCGGGGTTCTTGTGACAGGGCAAATTAACGGCGTGGTTACATGGTAGTCTTCTGGTTACAGGTTCCTTGCATGGTCTAGCTTCACAGTTCTTATGACAGATTTCTTTGCAAGGATGGCCACAGTCTTTTCTCACTCTCTCGCATGGTTGTACGCACATCAGTGAAGATGGATCGACGTAGCATGGGCTGTTGACGTTGTGGCCACACTTAGGAAGAGTAATATCTACTTTCACCGTACAGTGACTACAAGGTGTACTAGAATGGCATCGGTTTTGGCAGGGGTGACCTCTCGCGCATGGCTTTTTACAAAGCTCTTTACATCGAACTTCGTGACATGGACGGCCACATGCAGAAGAACAATTGTGGCCGCAATCAAGTTGCCGTGGGCAGGGCGCGAAACAAACTGCATCTTTGGGGTCTTGAAAGCAAGGAACAGCCTGCTGGTGGTCACATGGAAGATCCTTTACGACAATTATTTTACATCGCTTCGTTCCACAGTCTTCATGGCAGATTCCTGGACAGTTGTGGCCACAGTTTAGTACCCGTTCGCACTTTTCGTAACACGCACTTGGGAAATCTTTTTCGCGGCACAAGACACGTGTCCAGTGTTTACACGACATCTGGACTTCAATCGTAGTATTACATTGGCATGATTGTTTACACTTCCTTGAACAAGGATGACCGCATGCCAGAAGTTTGGTACAGCTTTTCGTGCACTTGTTATAAAAGACTGGATCTTGGAAACAGAGCATGCTTTTTTCGTGTCCACATGGTAATGATTTTTCACATGTTACTCGACACTCTGTTGTGCATAACTGTCCACATGGTTTTTCACAGGGGTGTCCACATGGTAGCTCCTTCTCACATTTCGCCCGACAAGAAAACTTTTCAGGGTCCATACTACATGGTACAAGCTGTTCATGATCACATTTAGGTACTGTCTTTGGCATTTGCTGATAGCACGGTGGGCATTTGTATGGATAGTGACACTTCTCTTTACACTGATGCCCATTAAAGCATTTACTGACGCACCTATTGAGACAATTTTTCGGATGTCTTCTTGTATGGCAAGGAATGGTACAAGCATGGCCACAATCTAGACGATCCCCACAAGGCATATTGCATCCTCCAGATGGATTAAACTGGCCTGCATTTTGTACACTCGTTACATTGTTGTGTCTCTTGCAAATCAGTTGTAGACTATAACCAATGGCTCCCGTGGTTTCTAAATCATCACATATTTCTTTCCAAAGCTTGCACTTGCTTTTCAGAAGACTAAAGTTTCCAATACAATAGAGACCTTTTCGGGCTCGTGAAAGGGCGACGCAGATCCTGTTGGACTCACCTAGAAATCCAATGGAACGGTCGGAATTGCTTCTTACCAACGAAAGAAGAATGATGTCATTTTCTTCACCTTGAAAGTTGTCAACAACGCAAATCCTGACACTAAATTCATATCTTGACATAATCTCTTTGAGGAGTAATAACTGACCAATATACATGGTTAAAATTGTGATTTGGCCTCTGCTGTGTCCTTGAAGTAGAAGGTGCCTACAAAGGGCTACCAAGAATGAAGCTTCATGAGGGTTAGAGTAACTTTGTAGGCCAGGTTCATGTTTTTCTTGTTCACCATGATTAATGAAAAAGAGATTCCTACAAACTCCAGATATGTCCTCAAACTGACACACTGACGTGTGATCTATGATTTCGTGATCGTAGATTCTTTTAGTCAGAGCGGCGATCTCAGGGCGCATTCGATGTTGTGTAGATAAACACTTACAATCCACATTATTCATCACCATCCTCTCAAACAGTGAGACCTCCAGGTTGTACTTGTGGGCTAACTCATACACAGTTGCCTTAGGGCGGAGCTGTTTGTGGTCTCCGATGAGAATTGTGTGCTTTGTGTTGTGCGAAAGAGAAGTAATAATGTGCGATTCCATTACCTCAGCGGCTTCTTCAATAACCACAATTCGTGGAGCTATCCTTTGTAGGGCTGAGTGATGTCTAGCTGCTCCAGTGGTAGTCATTCCGATAACGGTAGCCCGGCGTAACACCTCTTCTTTAGCTCTAAATCTCACCTCCTTTAGCTCCTCACAAAGCTTTTCAAAATCCTGTTCACTTCTCTGAATCTCTACTCTGTAGCGATCACGGTAGCTCTCGATCCAAAAGAGGTAGAGTTGAAGCCGTTGCGATTTTGTCAAGTTCCAGATGTTTCCAACGTTCATCGCTTCCTCAGGAGACATCATTATTTCGTTTTTGAGCTGATCTTTTAGTTTGGAAATACCTACTTCGTTGAGGATTTTGGTGGCGTCTTGCTTTTTCTTCTCGGTAGCTCCCATGTTTGACGACCTTTCTTTGAAACCTTCATTTTCTTTTTGTAACCAGGCAAATTTATTTTTTCTTTTTTGTTTTCTTTTGTTTGTTACAGTGGTCCATTCTTCATTGTCTTCGTCATGGGCGCCCATCGTATCCTGTTCTACACTCTCCAGGTCATACGCTTCTTCAGTTACAACGTCGGAGAGATCTTCTTCAAATGGTAGGGGTCTTTGACATTGCATGAAATCAGCATCTTTTTCTATTGCGATGGTCTCCTCTCCAGCTCCGTTTACTTCATCAGCTCTGTCAACGCAGCTTTCCTTTTTTAAGGCACAGTCATTATTCGTCAATTCTGTAGTATCTGAAGTAAGCTCATCTGAATATATTAGTGCCCAAGGATCCGTTGCAGCAGGGGGATCATTAGCAAACAAAGGAACACGTTTTACAAAGGCTTTTGCTCCTCGACTGTCGCTTTCGTAATCTTGTGAGGCAAAGAAAAACGACGGTTTAACAACTTCTTCACCTGTACCAATGTCTTGAAAGAAAGATACCTGGGAAACTGCTGTAGGCGATTCCTCTGTTGTATTTTGGTTGCTTGACCGCAGCAGCTCGTCGTCGCAAAGCCATAATATGAACGTATCGCCTGCTGATCGGTACTTGTATTTTGAATTGGAAGGGAAAATGGCATTGTATAGTTGGTCCACGTGATCTGAATTTAACACATCCTCCAATTCATCAAATCCTAGCAGTTTATCGCCTGCTTTTGCGAGATGTTTCTTCCAGTCTTCTCGCTCTTTCTCCTTTTGCATTATCATTGTTTTGATCTCTCTCAAATCAGCCCCACCCCTGCATTCCTGAGTAAAATGTTTCAGATTGCAAGCTTCAAGCTTTGGGCTCTTGCTTCTTTGTCCAACACGAATTATCTCTTTTTGTGGAAGAAACTCTAACACCTTTTCCAGGAATTGATCCAGCGCATGGTTCGTAAAACAAACCATCAACATCGGTGATAAGCGCAGGGGATCCCAGGTGCGTCGATTTTCTAGTAAGCATCTTACAATTTTGGCTCCAACGTAAGTCTTCCCTGTTCCTGGTGGACCCTGGATAACGGAAAACTCAGTTGTAATTGCTGTCCTCAACGCTTCTAGTTGGGAGCTGTTGAGTGGAAGTGTTGCAACTGAGGGCCAAGCTTCAGGCGTGAGAACAGGTACCTCTTTGGCGTTTTTGTTGCCTGGAACGTCAAGGGCGTCCATTAGGTCAAAACATACTGGCGCCTCTTTCTCATTCCGTCTTAGATATTCCGGTGGATCAACTTCGGCACTGCATTCAACCAGATATTTTTTAAATGGCATAGTTGTTTCATCTAACTCCTTTAATCCTTTAAGAACGTAACGATAAGCTTCAAAATAGGCTGGCGACTCAACCATCTGGTAAACGTGATTGCGGCTCTCGATCCCAAAGACATCTTGCTCTTCGATAAACTGAATGTCGATACGCCCCTTCTTCAGTTCCTCTGGTTCTCGTTTGGAAACAGTGGCGAAAAGCATGGTTTTAAAGTTGTCTTTTGAAATGCACAGAAAGGACCCATACAACAGTCGTTTAGAATCTGACCACCTGCTCGTGTTAAATCCGGAAACATCGATTTTGACTTGATAAGTAATACCACTGTCCGCCGCGAGTTCCTTGCCGATGATTCGTACGCTGCGGTAATTTTTCATTGATTGCTTGCGCTGTTGTCGTGGCACCTTTAGAATGACTTCACCGATACCTTCCCTTAGTGGCTCAAGGAAGTCTTCTCGCAGAAGCCGAAACTGAACATCAAGATAGTGTTCAACATTGTCGTACCTTCCCTTTGAAATATTCATCCGTAGGAAAGGTCGTTCTTGAGTTGTGATTTCCTCACTCATGGGATATATTGGCAAATCTCTGAAATCGTTTGGTGGTTTATCTCCAACTCTGTAACGTTTTCCTTGCTTTTCTCTTTCACTCTTGATGATGCTATCTCTGGATTCTTTAAATGCTTCTAACTTTTTCTGTAAATCATTCTTTGTTTCAATGGTTGACTTACTTAAGGCTAATTTCAGCTTATCATAGGGCGGGTCAGCATATGAACGAGGCAAGATTGTCAGGTACTTCACGAAAACTACAATAAGACATTCGATGAGTCTCTGAAGAGAAACGTCGTCATCCCAGATCTCTGATGCGTCGACACGATCAAGAAAACTAGGAATCTTTAAAGTTAAGAAATCACAGCCTTTAAGCGCAGCTAGAATCTTGTTCGTATTCTCCCCTGATGGCGCTTCGCAGGCCCTCGCTAAAGTACAAGTTAAATCATAGATAAATTCATCGCTGTTGTGCTGCTTCTCGGTCGATTGTAGGAGGTACTTCAGCCTACCCATTCCTTCGTTCAGAGTGTTCAGGACCTCTCTGCTATCCTTCTCTTTCAAAGTCTTAGGGTCCAATGAGACCATTTTTACTGGTAACACTCCTCGAACAGTGGGCCGTATATTGGGCTGTGTTGAAAAACCAGAGTTCTTATTCATTGGTCCGAGCTTTCCAGGCCGTTGATCTTGGTTTGTTTTATCTGAATTGGGAGAAGAGTATAAATGCACAAAATTTTTCTTCTAGAGGAAGCTACTCTGTTCTATGCTAACACGTATTCGTTAAAATGCAATACACTTAAGGTGGTAGCCTTTCATATTGTTAAGAGTTTTCTTAACCAGAACAATCTTGCGAATTGAAAGTTACGCAAGATGAGATGGTCGAACACGAATCTGTGTGACGGCATTATTTAATAGCCTGCGTAGCTGGCAGTGCTTTTTAGCAGAGCCGCCTCCACGCCCAGCGAAGGGCGTAGCTGCCAGGGATCCCATTTGTACTCATCCCCATTGTTTTTGCTGATTTACGGACTAAACAAAAGCAACAAACGCATCAGTGGATTGAAGCGCTTACGCGGGACAAACTCCTCCAACTACGCAAGCTAATATTTACGGGCAGTTGGCTTATAAGATACGTCACGAACAAAAAGGTAGCTCAGTTCCCTCTGATGAAGCTGCTGTTGAAAGTTTCCTCAAATCCGTCAAATCCAACTGCGCCCAGCCCTCCCCGGGCTAACCTCAGGGCATTAGCCTTTTTTTTGCCTTGGATGGCAAATTCTCGGGGGCTGGGACACGAGCTACCAAATGCCCCGCGGTGGGGACGAAATCAAAATAGAGAGCAAATGCGCCGTCCTCAATCCACACTGTAGTACTAGTTTTCATTGACCGCAGAGTCGAATAGTGCCACTTGTGACTTTAAATTTTTAATGTGAAATTTTTCGTTTAAGACAACGTCTGCCTTTGTAATAGGGCCATTCTTATTAAGCCGCGACAAAACCAGTTAAAACATAATACTTATTTTATCATTATTTATCTCGTTATAAATAGTTCGTAGGCAAAAAAGTGTCATAAAATTAAAATCAATGATAGTGTGTAAAGCTATCTGTTCTAAATAGTTTAATAACTTGAAAGGAAGTTCCTCAAATAATGGATTGATCATACATGATCATAGAAGTATTAAAATTATTACCCCTATATTTAATTCAAATCCTAGATAAAAAAAAAATTCAATGAAAAAAACGTCGATTCACGAACGTCGATAGCTCTCGATTTCGCAGTGTAAGTTCTATCTTGATAAGCAATGAAGAAATGCCTTCATAAAATCGAGAAAACATGCCTTTAAAACCTCTAGAAGTTTTTCGCGTCCTTGATAGATGAGCCAATCGGCCAATTTGCTTGTGTTGCTGGTAAAATCCTCCATGTTTAGTTATACAGTCGAACCTCCATGTGCGAACACCTCTCATAAACGACCGCCTTTCCAAAACACCAACATTTTTCCAGTCACAGCCTTACAGTTGGAGCCTCTAGTAAACAACCACCTCCTGCAAGCGACTGCGTCCACTTTTTTGGCCTGATGGTTTATGATTTTCCATTGTTTTTAACCTCAAGTAAGCGACCACTTGACGCATTCTCTGATCTCTATGTTCGCTGTGTGCACTATGCTACTTGGAATATACGAAGAACTTTAGCGACAACATGGAATTACACGAGTCGTAATTATTTTCCATAAGGTAGATGTGCAGAGGAGGTTCGACTGTATCAGGATAGGAAACCACGTGGTTAGGGTGTCAAAAGCTCGGGAGTGGCCGCGAGGTAGGCAAATGCCCTACCCCCGGGCAACGCAAAATTTGCTAAAGTCCCATCCCCGGGACTGACAAGGTAGGCAAATGCCCGCAGTGGCCCGAGGGGGTTGGGTGCATGCAGTTGGATTTGACTTCACTATCCTGGTTTCGTATATTTTTCTTCCGGTGAGTACCCTATATAAAGTTTTAACAGATAGAAGCCGTCCAAAATTCCTGGAAGGAATTTGTCGGGTAAGCAGAAGTAATGTATCGTTTTTTCATACCGTGAGGCTTTCCTCTTCCTCTCGATGGCATTGCTTCGTCTTTCCCGTGCTCCTGTGATGCTCCTCGTCCACGTCCACGTCCCCGTCCACGGATACCATGCTTATCCTGTTTGTTGACGTGGTCATCTAAATAACGGGGCGAATTACATTAATTTGTTCCCCTATAAAATCAGCACCTTCGAGGTAACCAATACCTCAAGGGGAAAATTCGTTAGGTGTGGGAGAAAATATCGAGTTTTGTTTTGCTTAAATCTTTTTGTCATTAGTTCACAGTTTATGGATCCTTTTAGTGTCTTAAGTGTGATTTTTGTCTGCTCTTTTATTAATATGGTGATGCTTTGTTAACATATAGTGATGTTTCATTTCCGCAGTTCTCATATATGATTTATTTCATATACATTGGTCACATAGTGATGTTACCAGGGTGTGTTAAGTTTCTCTAACCTTTTTCTTGTTTTACAACCGGTTTATTACCAGCTCCTTCTGCCCAGTGTTGGCTTTGAGATGATGATCCGTATGGTGTTCCTTCCTGTTGTTCTGCTGGAGCTGTTTAATAAATTAAAGTAAACAATGAAGCTCCCTTCAATTTAAGGACTAGTAATGTAAAGTAAGAATACCAGAATTGACTCTAAAAGCTACAACTTTAATCTTCAAGCTAAAAGGCATTAGACACTAAACATGCTAGGGGAGCGGTGAGTACCAAGGTGCATGGTGATCTAATAAAAATGAACTATTTTGTTGCTAATTGATTTTTTTGACACGACTCTGAGTATAATTCTGTTTGTTTAAATCTCTCATAAATTTAAAGCAATTGAAAACTTGAAGATGTGGAGTTTGTATGAGAAAGGGGCCTATATTTAATTGGAAGTATCACATGGCCGAGCGTTCAAAGCGCTCGAGACTTGGCCTGTAATCCTGCGTGACTGATTCAACTCCTCGACCACGCTTGTTTATTTCTAACTAGTGGCATCTCCGGCCAGTTGGGATTCCTAAACTTGTTATTTTTCTTGCAATGAGTTTTGGGCGTCATTTGCTCGTCCCCACTAGCCTTACAGGGTGGCAAGGAGAGGACGGGTACCTATCACGATCATGCTGACTTTTTGGGGCAGTCACGCTTCACGTGGAAAACTGAATTAGCCATCACGCGTCATATTAATCCCGTTTACATCCTTTCTTAACATACTGTCGCCTGGTCCTTCACCAGGGGCACCCAACGAGAATATAGCTCAAAACAATTAAACATAGCGTTGTTAAACGTATTTTAGTATTTAAACGGTAGATATAGGCATATTTTTATCCCCTAAAAGGTTTTCATCTGTTCGGATTTCCTAGCTGAAAGTCTAGTGATCCGAAAATTATAGGGATCAAAACTTACCTTTTCGAAAATTTCAGCCAGAAAAAAGGCTCCCGAAAATTCTAGGTGACCTCCGTTAAAAATGGGCAATTATACCATTTTTGAGATGTTCGAAAATCCTAGGAGAGGCAGGCAAGCAAGAAATTTTACAACAAATGTTCCGAAAATTCGAGATCTCAAATCGTCTTCCGAACAGATATTTCCGAAAATTGACGTTGGGTGCCCCTGCTCCACCTACTGTTCCAACCTAAACTGTAACTACCTTTTGCAAAAGCATCTAGTGCAGCTCATCACAAAAGCTCACTATCTAGCAAATACCGCCCCTTTATTTAGCCAGCTTAAAGTCCTTGACATATTTAGTATTAATTCATTTTCTGTCGCTACCTTTATGTATTCTTATCACCATAATCTTTTGCCTAGTAGCTTTAATGACTTGTTCTTAAGTAGTAATCAAGTCAATCAATACGAAACTCGACTAGCCTCTCAGTATAGACCTCATTTTTGTAGAACAAATATAAAGCAATTCAGTATCCTTTACTGAGGACCTAAAATCTGGAATTCGTTGCCTGTTTCACTAATTAGCTCTCCTTCTATATTTGTTTTTAAAAAAAATTCAAAGAATTATCTCACTGACAGCCGATCTGTCGCTTAATTTTCTGCTCTTGTTCACTCTGCACTCAGCCGTGAATTTAGTTCACTAGGTAGTTGAAGGAAGCATATTAATATAAGCTTCAAGCTTCGTTTGGCTTCCTTGTCACATTAATTTTATAATTTAATTAACAACTTTTATTCATGTTGTATAAGATTTTGTGAGTGACTAAATAAATAAATAAATAAATAAATAAATAAATAAATAAATGTAAATGAGGTGCAACTGCAGTAAGTTAACATGGCAATCTATCAATAATATCTGTGCTTCTTGTTTCAAATGATGTTCACCAATCACGGAAATCTATTAGGAAATTCACTCGTCACACGTTGTGAATATAGCAAATCACGCACCACCCAGCTGAAAAGGCAACTATGTCCAATCACGCCTCACGCAGCTGATTTGAGCCCGATCACGTATCAAGCTGACAATTTGTGACCTATCACGAGTCACGGAAAACTCCTTTGCCACCCTGGTCTTAGTGCTATATGCACGCTGCCTGTAAGCAAAGGAAGTCCAAGTTTTTTAAATTTCTATTATTTTAATCGCCAGAGATACGAACGCCACTAACTAAGCAAATGGAAGGGTTTATAATGCCGTTTTTTCTATAAATAGTTTTGTGTCTTTAAAGGCGAAGTCCAAAACATCTGCCTTCGAAAGGATATTTCTGTTAGTTTAATTTTGTGTTGCTCAGTTTTTATGAAGACTGGAAGGAATCAATAGGAAAGTGGTTATCTCGAAGTCATAAATAGTTGATAAGTGATCTTCTACTCACCTTGTCTAGTTTTTCTTTTCCCTTGATTTCGTCCTTTTCTGTTTTCATCCTTTCTTCCCAATCGGCCTTTTTTGTCCTCTTTTGGGTGGCTATCATCTGAAGAAACGAAGAAAAATTTTATGCTGGCCATTTACAGTCAATTCCCGTTATTACGGACACCCTGGGGACCGTGGTTTAGTGTCTGTAATGGCGAGAGTCCGTAATTACGGGGTGCAAGAAAAATTAAATTTCTTGATGTTAGAGGAATTACATTTACTCATGTCTCTCCAGAACCAATTGTAGTGCAGTTTTCGCGTATCAAGAGCGTTGGAACTTTACTTATTTACCGAAACAAAAACAAAAAAATCGTAATAGAACTGAACTTGCATCTCCCTTTCGTTCACCACAACAGTCATTGAAATTAATGTAGTGACACAAAAACCATAAAGTACGGTACTAAAAAATCCAATTATGTACATTAAGTACATCATGATTGTTTTTTGCAAGTACGTACGATAGTTTCTTAGAAGAAGCATGTTGAACGAGAACAGGGGTCCATAACCCGGAGTGAGCAACTCCCATACTAGGTCTATGTCACGGCGTTTTCACGGATCGATTATTTTTGTGTCTAGTGTGAAGCACGCAGACACTATGTGAGAGTGTAGAAAATTCGTCTAAGTACCTCATATAATTAATCTCAAATTATGACGTAACAGCCAAAACAACCCTATAAGCTATACATTATTTTACTACTTACATGAAGGGGGACCAAAGCGTTAGCACACATATGTTTGGAACGTGTAACCATTTAGGTATGCTTGGAATGTGCAACTATGTGAGCCATAAGTGAGACTTTTCGGCTAATCTTGAGTAGTTTTAGGATATTCGATCAAAGAAAGAAATAATCGGAACCAATTCAAATTAGAGGGTGAAAGGTCGCGGCAAAGGGAGAGCAACCTTAAAAAGTCTCAAGAGCAATTGGTGCCGGTTGTACTTTAACCTTTAAAGATAATTATCAAGAGCATAAGCAACAGATGTTTGTATGTGGGAATCCATTTTTATTTCATGGCTATCTTATTTGTTTTTTTTTCTTTGAATCTTCTTATTGTTGTTATCCTACACTATATAGATGCATAATGTGCAAACAGTCACTCGATAGGGCACTCAAACTTAAGAACTTTTGGCTATAAAGCCAGTCTGTTGAAAAAGGTATACAAACGGGAGCCTTTTTAGGCTCCTGATGCAAACGACTTTCTGGAATACTGAAAGAGACCAAAAATCGCAGTTCATTGAACAAGCAAATAATCATCACGCTAGTAATGTTAAGGTGTTTATTATATATATACTGAGAAATACTGACCAAAAAGCTATGTCGTAAATTTTCGTACGCAAATTAGTTCTAGAAAATCAGAGGAGCGAACGATGGTTTTCACACGTGAAAAAAATGATACGTCCAATCAGAAGCCACAGAGGTGTGTGAGTTTCGCGCCAAAATTCCTGCCTTTTATTGCAGCTTGCAGCGCCGCTTCGCAGACATTCAACGAGAAACGTTTTACTCAAAGAGTTTTTCTCGCTAAAAAAGTGAAAAACATTTCGGAAATGGAGTGGAATAGTTTCGTTTGTTTCACTGTCGATAAAGAAAACGGTAGAGAGCCGGCGAAACAACAGCGAAAAGGAAAAACAGAACGAGACGTAAGCTTTTGTTGTGCTTTTTGTCGGAGCTACTTTGCCATTCATTTGAGCTTAAGCTTATATTGAAACCGGCCATTTTACTTAAATTCACTCATTTTCAATTGTGCATTAGAACAAACAGTTAAGATTACTTATAGTTCTTGGATTACCTCATATCCTTACCGTCATTTATGTTTTTAACAAACGTTTGTACTAAAAAGCTGATACTTCGTTTTCGTTGTCATTTTGCGGTAAGTGTGTAGCGGCAAATTTTAGCATTTTTGAAAGATTTAAAATAAAAAGGCCGCCAAAATGATGAATGTCTCAGTTTGTATATAATAAACACAATACCACATGGAAAGTGCTTTGTACGGTATTTACGCACTCGTTGTTTTTGTATCAGAAATCGAACGAGTGAGCGCAACTCCTGCGTAAATACCGTGCGCCAGCACTTTCCATGAAGTATTCTCTATTTGGATACAGTTTTTCGGAGACCATGCCCATTTTTTTTAATCGCCCTAAAAGTGATTTTATCCTTTTCCGATGAATGGTGAAAATTTCATAGTAATCGGAAAAGGATAAAAAAGAAAGTAGAAAGAAAGAAAAAAATAGAAAGAAAATACACCAAAATTTCCTAGCAGCGAAATATGATATTACGCAGCATTCGTATGCTACTTAGATTAATTTGAGTTATTTAGAACTTTTTTATGAAATAATTTGTTACGGCTATTGAAAATATAATGTTTGAAATATATGTAAGTTTTATTTGAATTCAAACATACAGAATTTTTTACTTCTCACGGAAGTTATTTGCTAAACACCACACTTAAAGTTCCTGGTGTCGACTTTTCAGTAGCAGGTCTCAATCGCTCAAAAGTCGGCCTTTATTGACTTCAAACTTTTTTGTTTATTGTTGTCATAGTGATACTTAAAACTACATTTTGACAAACTTCAATCCAAAATCAATCAGTGGCGAAAATTTCATAGTGATCGGAAGAGGATAAAATCACTTTGAAGGCGATTGAAAAATATCGGTATGGCCACCAAAAAACTGTATCGAAACACCTTAAATTTACACAGCAAATCTTTGAGAACAAAATGTTTATTTCAAGATATAATTGTGTTCAACGGAGAAAAGTGTTAAAAATGTTAATGCCCGGATCTGGGAACACGCTTCAAGCCACCTTCATTATTTCAGAATACACGCTTCTCATCTTGCCACCCAAGAATTAGGGGTAAAGAATGGCACCATCAAAGGCAAAGGCAAAGCTCCGGCTACTCTGAGAAAATTTTCAAAAAGACACCGTAGATGGAGAGGCTATTCACAGAAACAGATAGGCTCAATCCGGCTGAATCAAACTCTCTTTGCAATACACTTTGAAAACTAACCAACAGAGCACTGACAAAACTAACTCTTCCCATTATAACTACATTTTTCAATGATATAAATTCGCACTAGGCACGTGTACGCAATGCGGACCTATTTTTAGACACATTTTAAGGCACTTTTTTCCGTGAAAATGGAGAACATAACGCCATTAAAAACCAAAAATCATCATTTTTAGGGGTCTGTAGGTTTGTTGACTGGTTTGTAGGAAGATATTCTATAGTCGCCCCCAAACCGGTCTAAACTGGTCTGTGAAAACGCCGTGACACGAGTACATGGAAGTTGCTTGCTTATGAAATAAATTATAATTGATTCTGCTTAAATGTCGAAAGATGCTGATTGATGTCTGTTAAAAGGAGAGGTGGACCAATAAAATTCAATTTGCTTTCGGGACCAAGAAAGGTGTCCGTAAGTTCGTAATAGGGGGAGTTTGTTTCAGTCAAATGTCTATACTTTTCGCCGGGGGTGATTCAGCAGCTGTCCATATTAGCGGTGTGTCCGTAATAGCGAGGTGTCCGCAAGGCGAGAGTTGATTGTAATCGCTTGCTGCGCTGTACCTAAAGTCCAGTAAACTTTTTGACGCAAACATAACTTAAGCGATGAATATACCTCGCGGTTTTAACAATCGAGAGCTTGAGTCTTTTTTCTATCTTTCCTTAGAAAGTAACCAACAGTTCCCTCTTCGACGTTCTTCAGTTCTTCGATTACGGTAATCGTGGTGTTTTTATCCAAAATAACCAGCACGTAAAGAGAATGCGGACAAATTGATTGACTCAGTCAGCAACCCGTAGAAAGCATAAAAGCAGGTATCCAATTTAATACGAGGTTCATAACGAGTGTAAGATTTACTGCTTAGAAACGATATTTCTATTGTTTGGATAAGACAATTCTTCATGCATTCCGCTGCAGTCGGTGCAGTTACCTTGTTTTTCGTCTGCAATAGTTCCACAGGCACCTTCAGTTGGTGATGGGTTTTCTTTTCCTTGCTGGGATTGTTCTGATGGTTCTTCTGACTCTATAATAATATAAATAATGGAAACTTTATTTGTGTTTTTGAAAGTACAATTGTAAATGTCGCTACGTATAGGCAATTTACAAATGCTGCCTGAGATTGAATTATTAAAAAAAAAAAGAAGAAGAAAAGAAAAACAAATTTGCGTCAAGTTTGGGCTATCCCAATTCCTATTTCTACAACAAAAGACGTAATATGTTGCTCTAATGGCTATATTTATCATTTTCTTGATTATATAAAGTTGCTGCTTTTTGTCAATGCCAATATCATTCATCGTGTCTAAGAACGTGGAGCATTCGTCGGAGAAAACGTCAAGAGAGCTCATGGAGAGATTTACAAATTTCACACATCTGTAATTTCTACTTATTACCTTGATCAAGTTCACATAATAATAAGATAATAATCATAATAATGGCTTTATTCAGCATTTCCACTAGGTGGCTCTCTAATCGGTTACCAAGCGTGTCATAATATGCTTTGCTAGCAGTCTTTGAACTTTGGCCATAAATGTTAGCTATTAAGCTACGTGGAAACGGACGAAACAACTCCCAAGGTTGTTGATCCAACAATGTTGGGAGATGTTTCGTCCGTGTGCACGTAGTTTCGTTTGACCGGTTTCAAACTTTGCGCAACAACTCCCAACAACACGCAACAACATGCAACAGGGTGTGTTAACGGACGCAACATGTAACATCCACCAATGTTGGGAGTTGTTGGTCAACAATTTTCCGTCAGTTTGCGTGGGGCTTCAAACAACTACCAATATTGATGTTGCGCCAACAAATGTTGGGAGTTGTTACGTCCGCGTTGGCAGTGGTATGCAAACGGATGTAACAACTCCCAATAATGTTGGGACCTGTTGTTCATTGTGGGAAGGATACAACCCATAAGACGTTTGAGACATTTGTGTTGTTGGAAGGATCCAACATTGCTGCGCAACGCTTCGGCGATCGCGGAACAACAGAAATGTTGGGAGTTCTTGGCTCAAAAATTCAAACCTTCCGTAACAACCTCCAACAACATGCAACACTGTGTGAAAACGGTCGCAACATGTTACATCCAACGATGTTGGGAGTTGTTGGCCAACAATGTTGCGTCCTTTTACACGGGGCCTTACAGTTTGTTCTTGTTTGTACAGCATAATAACATCTAAATCACGGTTTTAGAGCCATACCTTTATTTCCCCCGAGGTGTTTATCGAAGTCCTTTTTCCATTTCTTTCTGTCATTCTTCCTGCCCATGGTGCTGAAAAAAATAAAGGAAAAAAATTCAAATAATTTAGGCCGTGTTTGATTCCCGAAAAACAATACAGGGAATTTCTACCACAAATCCGGCCCTTATCACAAACACTGTAAAAACCCGTTTGGAATCTTCACTCCCCATCGATCAAGTATTCGAAAGAATGGGGCAGTTCGCTCATTTAATACAACATTTTTGATAGGTAGCTGTTAGACACAATGTTACGAGTGCAATCATATAAACTTGGGCTTTTCTCAATTTTAACACTTGTTACTCTCTTTCAAGCCCCTTGCAAACGGATGCAACTTTTTTGGTCAACAACTCCCAAAATTGTTAGATGTTACATGCTGTGTCCGTTTGCCAACCGTTTTGCAAACGTAAGCAACAGCTCCCAACATTGTTGGCCCAACAATGTTCGGAGTTGTTGCATCCGTTCGCACGTAGCTTTATACTCAGTCAGTCCTGTCCGTAGCCCTGTGTGGAATATTTACTGAACAAATAGAACAATGTGTGGATAGCCTGTTTTTCAGTGGTCAAAGCATGAATTTTTCAGTGGTCAAAGCTGAATTGAAGAAAAAAATTTAGGAGCTCTTTAAACTCATGCAGTTATCCCGAAAGTTTGTTTTTGTGGGTTTAAACTGGTCAAAACCTTTCTTTAATCTGGAGAGAGGTGGCGAAACAAATGACACTTCCATCCCTCATTATCATAAACGGCAGGTTACGACCTTCCTTTATCTTAGTTCCAACATGACACCGTTTCCTGAGACACGAGATATAGCGTGGGACTAATTGTTTGACAAAAATAGACGGAATATTTAGACCCCTTCCCCAAATCAAGGATAGCAAAATGGCGCGTTTTGGCTTTCGTCGCCTTGCTTCTTCCTTGATTTCAGCGAAATGGTTGATTTATACATTCTCCGAATATTAAGTGCCGTCCGGTAGAGTTTGCCAAAGGGTAGTGATAAATTTTACAGTGACGTCATCAAATTGAGTAGTAAAAAAAGCGAGGTTTTACGAATTCTTATTTACACTAGGTTGGAGATAAATAGAAAATAAATCTTTGTACAAGTTTCCAGCCCCGTCGAAGCATGTTTCATTTTGAAAATACAGCAATTTGAACTTCCGAGTTTTCACGGTGCGTGACCAAAATAGGAATGCTGTCTCATTCAAAAAAGTCTATTGATTTCAGCAGTTTAACCATTTCATGTATTAAAAGATGTGTTTATGCGCACCTACGCTAGCTCTCGAGTGAAAAGGAAGAGCTTTTATAGAAAAAGTGAACTCCAGATGTTTTTGTTGATTTCCGGCGGCCGTATTAGTGGACCAAAACTGTCCGCCAATATAGCGTCTCCATACAAAGCTCTACAAAGGTGCGTGAAACGTTTCGGCAAATAACTCAGGAACTGTGGGCCACAAAGACCTGAGATTTGGATATATTAGCCTTTTATAACATGTCATTTTCTTGGCTTCTTCCACTAGACGGTTTCCAACTTGTTATTTTGTGCCGTGGTTATTGCGTGACAGTGAAAACGAAGAATTAGGTAAATTGCCGCACTGATTTCGGTGCATGATACAGGCCAATGCAAGACTGAGACGTATTGACGAGAAACCCAGCAGAATCAAGTTCACTTTTATTCTTATCAACAAAATGTTGTTCGCCGAAGAGGAATAAAGAATATGCAACGAGTTGTGCCAACACCCGGACTATCGATCGGCTTTGAGGCCGCTTTAAAATGCAGTTGCTGCCTTATCCTCCAGCAACTCAGTCGATGAAATAGAAAAATTTCTTCTATTATGACCTATTAGCGATTCCAAAATTCTACTCCTTATCGTTCTAGCTAAGATATTCCGATAGACAAGAACTGTAACAAATCAAGCATGTTTAACGCTGGATCGGCTCCAGTTCAAAGTCCTCTGACAATTGATGGAGTAAAGAATTATTTGAATTTGTTGAGTCTAGAAATACTGAAATTTTGCTCATAAAATGAAAATCATCTCAAACTAGTTCTCTCGCTTTTTTCAATACATAAGGCCAGAAATGAATGCTCAAAAGTGTTTCATTTCCGTGTCCCAAATTGTTATTGAAGCATTCCTTTCTTCGTGTATGTGGCAGGTTCAGTTAACCCCTCGCTGAGTTATAAGTGTACATTCGTCCCAGCTAAAAATCAAAAGCTTAGTTCCCTCGCATGCATGATTATTTAACCTTATTGTAAATTACCAAAAAGCAAAGCAAACATTTTGAAATGCAATCAGCAGTCTCTCGTACCTCTCAAAGAGCCAACAGATTCTGAGAAAGCCCCTTCTTAAGTCTTTATGACTGACAGCTGCACCGAGGAAGTCGTGACGAGAGGCGTTTTACTTTATAAAATCGAAATAACTTTGAAATATCTGGTTGTCGTGTTTCAGAGAAACTCTTACGTAAAGTGTTTAAATCCTTGTTATTTCTGATTCCAAGAAGAGTGTCTTTTGTCTCGTTGAAATTCTTTTCTCGGAAAACCAATGGGAGAAAGTTAGTATAGGGCAACGGAGTTCAGGATCATAGAAACTAGAGCCCTCGTTGCAGCTGTTGAATTGTTTTAAATTGTACCGCGTACCGATGCTTAAAAAACCAGGATGGGGTCGAAACCGTTCATGCGATATATATATTTTCTCTTTATAGGTGTATCAAATCATTTACACTCTTTTAATGCCCATTATTTTTACATTTTCCGTAATTATTTTGTGGTGGTCCTTTCCATTCCGGCAAACCTTCGTTTACATTCACTTGTTATAATCGACCAATCATCTTCAGTTTATGCATCAGCAATTGATTCTAGAAAGCACTTCCTGTTTTTCCGAGAACCTGTAAAACACCCCGGGGGCTTAAAAACATGGCTGACGTTTTCTTTAGAATTTGTTCAAAAGAAATGAGGGACTCTTTTATACTCTGTAAAGTTGTACGTTGCCTTAATTGAAGCAAAGTGTGCAACAGGACTGGTTTGCAGTCGCCCAATTTGAAATCCAATCAATGGATCGACGAACAAATTATGGCAAAGGAAGAGGTCGTGGTAGGGGAAGGAGTGGACATGCATACACGAACACAGGTATTCAAATTATGATCAAGACTGCCTAAAACACCAGGAGGATTTTTACTGTTTATTGTTTTAAATTCGAGTTAAACATTTCCGCACAGCTCGCCATTTTCACCACAATCAGTATTTTTTGCTCTTTCACTTCCGTAATCCAAATTTGAGTCGTCATCGTGTATCGATATCACTGCACAATAAAACAACAATTTAATCAATTGTAATAATTGAAACTAGGAATCTGGCGCAGGACATTCGTTAGGATCACGCTCTTAAATTTCCTCAATCAGTCAGTTGTGTAAAATATGTGACTATAGAGCTAAATAGTTAAATAAACTTCGAAAGTCGCGTGACAGTAGTCTTCGTCAGAGCACACTTGCGCCTTTGTTTGTTGGTATTTGTAATGTTGTTAGGGGCTAGGAAAGATCTTAGCGCCATATGTTTTCTGCATTCGGTTTACATGCAAAGGGTTGTACTTCTTCCTAGAGCTGGGATCTTACCTAGTACTAGGAAGATCCTAGCACCATGTAAACTGCCTTCGCTAGGAAGAACCTAGTACTAGGGAAAAAAGATGCAAAAATAGCGGCGGGTCGTTCAGTGGCTAATCACGGCAATAAAGGCCGTCCATTTCGTTTAATTTGGCATTACCACGAGCTGATTATTGTGATAATCCTGTTGAAAGGAAGTTGTTAACGCCAGTGAAGAGAGCAGAAGGGCCCAAAGTGTGTGTTTGTTTTTGTCGTCCGCCATTTTTAATTCCTTCTAAAACATTCTATATTTGGGTACAACACGGACCAAAATTTCTGCATGTGAACCCAATGTAAAGTTGATACGCCTTCTAAGATATTCCTGGTACTAGGATCTTCCTTTCCTCCATGTAAAGAGCCCCTTAGACTTGTCGTTTTTCCAAAATCTGTAGCATAACTTAACTGACCTAAGTGGCGCATGAACGCTGTTTTTAAAGAAATAGATATTCAGTTGAGCAAGCAAGAGCATTTTTGACTTTGCTTATTATTTCACGCAAACGGCGTAATGGGGGTGTCAATGGCGTTGAACGAAAACCAAATAACATTGTGTATGATCGTCCCAGAGTGAAACCTGAAGGTAAAATGAAGTGTATCGCCAGACAGTAGTATAACAACGGTTGCTGAAATAATTTGTGAGTTAGTGGCCGACATAGCTTCAATGTGCAATACCGCAAGGTCATGTGGGCAGATGAAATTTCTTTGCAATTCGCTCATAACTTCGCACTTTGCATGCTGTAAAGCGTTATAAAAGTTTACCTGTGTGATTTTATGATAGAAACGTTGCATCGTAACTGAGTATGGTAAACTAAAGTGAAAGAAGATGCAGTGAAAGCCTATACTTGGGCGCACAACTTCTCTTCTCTTTGCCTTAAAACTATCTGTACTGGGAAAAACGGAGTGTTTCTGTAACCTACGTATTTGCTGAGGTTGAAATAAGGAACGCCTTATCTTGCACGCAACCGTGGGCCGGAGCAAGAGCTCTCCCTTTCTTTCCCCGCTCCGCGCTCTTTCTCCCGTGAATTCTCTAGATATCCTCCAAAAGTAAAAAAGAGATAGCAAAAAAAAATTAAAAGTCTAGCTTTAACTGGATAAGGTTGTTTTGTCTCGATATTTTTGAATACCTAGTTCGATTTTACTAAAACAATTATTCCTCTCGCCCTCATGGCCTCTGAGTCAATAGCCCATTCGGCCTTCGGCCTCATGCGCTATTGACTCAGAGCCCTTTCGGGCTCGAGGAATAATTGTTAAATACAATAGATGCTTGAAGATTACTAGTTTTGGTGTTATTATATATTCATTTTGAAATAACTGGTGATCCTTGCAATCTGATTGGCTCTCAGCGGTGTGTATGATTTATTTACGAAACACACTATTTTTTTTACTATAAATGTTTGAACCAAGGAGTCTTTTCATAAGTAGGTTGAGTATGATCGTCTGGGTGAAGGTAGTCCTGAATAGGTCGGTTGTTGACTGTAACTGACGTTTCGACAACCTGTGCGGTAGTTATCTTCAGAGTCAAAGTGAGTTACATCACGTCAGTTCATGGTATTAAACTCTGGTTATTGACCCGATTAGTCAATTAAGTCGCGTTGTTATTGGTCTTCTGTTAGTTAAGCCATGCTGTTATTGGCTATGAAGACTCGTAAAGTCATTGGGGCGTTTCGATCCGTCTATTGTCACAGTTAAACGGTCGTTATTTGTTAATCAAATTGTCGGTTGGCCAGTCATTTTTTCGTAGTTAGTTATGCTTATGATTTCAGAATAAATTGTATTCCACTCAGTTCAATTACGATCATTTATTGCTTTAGAGTGTATTACAATCTGCTTGAAATAAAATTCCCGATGTATTATCATGATTATTTCGAGTTTATGATCGCTCAAAACTCACACGGTAGAAGAGATGTGTAACAAAACTTGTGCGTATTCTTATTCCGGAATACGACCCATCGAACGTACCCTACGTAGGTCGAAATTTAGACTTTTAACAAAGAATCTGCATGAGATGTAACGTCAAGTAGCTAGCACGTGAAAGCATTGAGTTCCTTTCGTGGTTCGTAAGCGGGGGAATTTGACTTAATCCAAGGCTATGTTCTCACTATACCGGATAGTTTTTCGTGGCGCCACGAAAAACTATCCGGTATAGTATGAACATCTATCCGATATATGACACTCCGCTTTAGAAGGTCGATGCGGCGCAGCTTCGCTCCGTCACTGAAATCGCGCCGCCACAGCCGTTCTTGTGAACAGAAGTCCTTTCCGGTATGGCTTTTGTGGCGGCGCAAAACCTATCCGCTATTGTGGGAACAACAGTATCCCGTGGCCACAATTAATAAGCAATTGTCATGCAAGCAGTCGCATGTGAAAATGTTGGACGGTTCGCACGTGAAAAAAAAAGTAACTTGTTTACAAGATTAATATGCTCAGTACAATTTTAAGAAATCTCTTTCTTCGAACATCTTTAATGAAGTTGGGTGTTAAGATAGGTTAATTAGCCTAACATCAGTTAGTCTGGTTATTATAAAATCATTAAACAGCTTAACTGAAATAGTCAAAATGTGGCCATTCATCGCATGTCTTCCACTAGATGGAACAATCTTTATTCTCGTGACATCTCCTTTGGCTCTTGATCATGACTTCTAAGAACCAAAAATCGCTCAAACTTTCGGATATAGCCCATTTGTCAATTCCAATAAGTTCAAAGAGATTTACCTTCAAATTTCTGAAAAAGGAGCGGCCGGTCTCTAGGTAAAAGATACCTTAAGCATCCTTTAAGTTGAAAATTATCCCTATGTTAATAACCTATTCATCGCTTTTAATCTCTGTTGTCAAACGTTTGTCTTGTCCACTTTCCTTACCAACATTTACGATCTAAAAAACTCTTGAAACAAAGAAATAAAATAAGCATTAGCACCTGTATCCGTTAATAAGCAACATGATCGGAGACCCCTTCCGTCACCTGAGAACCCAGATGAATTTCCAGTGTTTTGGACCACAATAATCGACAACCGCAAATACCTCTGCGTCTGGCTTTGCATACCCAATCTTGCTCTCAGACCCATTGCACTTTTGTGACCAACCGAACAAGGAGATCCCTTTAAAATTCACTGGTCTTGAAAACTGAACATGTACAGTTGTAAGCCATGCGCGCGCAGGTTTAACAAATCCGTGAATTCAAAAGAGCAGTGAATCTAAAAACTTCTACAGGTAAATAACTTGGGAAACACCTCACAATGAACATGCTCATATCTTGTGCTTGATAAGCCTTTGCTTATATTTTTCTTGAAGGTACCTACCAGGGAGGGGAGTACCACGAAAGGCAGCAAAGAGGTGCACAAAGAGGCCCTTATCTTGGCTATCGAAAACTACAAGAGCTTAAATCTACCGAACCCTCTGAGATTGCTGTTAGTTTGCTTCAATGCCGCGAAAGCTTCAAAATTCTCGTGAGTTCCGACGATATTAAGGAGGACTGGATGACCCTCCTTGTAGAAATCCTAGGCAAGATGTGTGAAACCCAGATGACGCAGAACTTAATTGAGGTGATGTCGATATGTAAGGGCTCAGCTTTCATGCGCACCCATTTGCCAAAATACATTTTAAATCTTCCAATGATTCAAGAGGAAGAGTCTGAATCTCAGTTCACTTCAATCCTGGAATGCTTGCTAGCTTTCTTTAAGGAATGGCTGAATCGTTTTCCTCGATTATCGTCTGAAGTTCCTATAGACCATCTTGGAGGAAGCTTAAAAGATATTGATGTGAAGGAAGTTGAAAAATTTAGGAAAGAAGTTGAAACACTTTTGGCAATAAGACGGGAACTAATGGTAGAAGAAAGACGAGAAGCACAGGCTAGCAAAGGACCAAAGCCGAATAAAAGAA